CTACAGCTAAAACTGCAAACAATGCGACAGATTCAGTTTTTACAGGAGGGATAATACACAGACAAGTAACGTACTTCCAATTCTTCATGTAACATCAAATATACCACTTCAGTTTGACGATAAGATTACAGCTGCCTGTTTCAAAACGTGTTTGCGAGCTGGCCGAGCTGTAACGGGTCCGACGACAAGAGTTATCCCACCGCGAGCAACAAACTCTTCTAAGTGTTGGACAGTCCATAGCTGCAATGTAAAGGCCAGAACAGACACAGCGTGACGACGCCGGTAGTCAGAAGGTTAACATGCTCAGTTTCCGTTGCTTTTCACGCACGTTACAGAAGCAATGATAATATCGTATAATGTTTCATTTGTGCCAGGCAATTGTGAATACAATCACGACCCTTCTAGTTCCTTTTAAATGTGAGATTTTCTTTAATCTATTAGCTTTAGAACAGTTCTGCAGAATAGAGTTAGTCACTGCAGACTCGTACAATGTCTGCATAGCAAATTATGAACTGGTGTAAATGTAAAAAAAGCTTTCAGGTTTAGTAAAAGTCATTTGAGTGAAATGAAATAAATTAATGCACGAAGAAAAATCTTGTATGTCTGATCATTTCATCTCTGAAAGCACTAAAATAATTTCTACGAAATTTGGTATTGAGTGGCAAAAAAATAAAAGTGATATAATTTCAGTTCACATCGTCGAGTAATGTTACGTTCGGTACGAAATTTCAAACATTTTCCTGAAAATAACTCATCTTTAAAAAAAATTCTAGGAGGAAAAATATAGACATAATCCGCAAATTTAATTTAAATCGTTTTTCGATGTAGTGTATTGTAAATTACGTAATTAATGCAGTGTGATACGAATGGAGTAATTAGCATTTCTACTTGGGATTAATATAAAGGTAAATAAAGCCTGAAAAATCTCAAGGGCATTATGAAAATAAGCTTAATTCAATGGAGTACGCTTTTTCGCTGTTGTTTATGACAACCATGACTGAATCTTTTAAACACACAATGTGGTACATTTACATATAGTTTTCATAAGCGGATATTCAACAGAGACAATGTGGCGTTCCCATGATTCATGAAAATTCAAACGCAGAGCGAAACGCTGCAGCATCTCCACATCGATCGCTGCCATGAAGTCACCCCTCGGACCCCTCCGCCTCTCCCCAAGGTGCTCTATTGTCATTCCCTTCCCGTACAACCCAAACAAACGACGGAGAGAGAGAAACGTCCGGCCTCTTCAGAACTTGGCCGGTACAGACGATTCCGCCGCGATCCAGCAAAGGAAGAATGTTGATATTGCAGCTCCCTGGTTACCACAACGAGAATTACGACGCCATTCTTATACAGCAGGATCGCCAACCTTTTTCTTTGATGGCGGGAAATTAGGAACTTTAAATTTACAGCGGGCACAAAAAAAAATCGATTGCATGAAAATATGGAAACTGAAATAATTCGATTATGGTTGTGTTCTCGCATCTTCTACTCCAAGTGGTCCAAGAGTAAATAACGCGAACACACCCTCTCACTTCAAAATCCTTATTCAGCATCACTTAATTATCCTCGTATATCATAAAATACTATTACCTCTGGAAACAGCTTGATTAAATAACCTAATAATTAACCATTCATTCATGCGAAGTGTTTCTGTGTACGTCTGTCTCCTCTTAAGCACGCATGGAGCTGTTTACGGACAGTGGCCTACGGAAGGGAAGATCACGTAGTTTTTATTATAGTTTTCGTGTAGGATTTGAGGTTTTCACTGCGGTGGGTCTGAAGATGACTGTCTTCAGGGTTGCGCAACAACCCAGAAGACAGCCATCTTCATAGGTTTCGTGTTCTGTAAACCAGTAATCGTCAACATTATATACAAAACATGAGTTAGTTAGTATATCCAGTATACCATCCTCGTATCCTAAGCGTAATTTTATTCGTAATCCTTCCCGATATTTACGAGCATTTTGATTAATAATGCCGATGTGCAACATAGCTAGCTGTTTGCAGTTAGCGCCTGCAGCACAGTTCGTACCACCCGCCATGCGGCGACGTCGGAGAAGTTGCCGCATGAGCACGGCGATTCAATGTCAGACGTAGAACAACAAGTGGCTATGCTTTATAACTCATGGAATCGCCAGAAAGAGTAATAGAAATAAGAAAAAAGACAGCAATTATGACGCTCATAGAAATTCCACGACGTCATACTTTTGGGTCTACCAAATATCGAACGAATGCAGACTCTGGTATTAGGCTTTGAAAACAATTCTTTATTAATGATGAACCTGCATTTGGCCGGTGGCACCATACAGAAGTTGGTTTGTTGCCGACGTTTCAGAGGGCTATACTGCCTCTATCATCAGGACTAAAGTAAGAAAAGCCTTTTCCATGGGTCCAGACTACATTACTAGTTCTAATAGGTCAATACTCGTGACATCATCCAGATATAAACCAGCTACTTCCCGACCTTCCACGATTAGTGTCTGACACTATTCGGCTTCACGGAGGTTCTCCTTAGTTGAAAGGCAAGTGACAGGGTCTATTTTAAAAGGGACACGGCCCACTTCCCCCAGTCATGGAGATCTTCAGCCAATGAACTTCTGTCCCTAGTCATAGACGCTTTAAAATACGAATATTGGCACAAGATAAATAGTATCGTACATCAGAGTACTATTAACCCTCTGCGCACTCACGAGCCTAATAATATCTGAAAAACATCGCATCCAGTTTTCTGTTGAATGCTCAAGATATTCAGCTTGCCATTAATATTTCTAATAATGTGAAATCTCATGGACGATTAAACGTACATTACGAAAAAATATGAAGCCGAAGAGATCAAGTGAATATATACTCATTGTTTCAAAACTCGGCCAGATTTTTGTGGAGTTTCTAAGTCTCTCCAGGAAAATGTCGGGATAGAACATTAAAATACGTCACAACATTCTCCTTCAAAATCCTTGCCCACTCACAATTAGTGATCATTCGACTCTACAGTTGACACAGCGACGAAAAATTCCCTTAGTTTCACATGTCTTCATGTTGTTCCCGTTCTGTTTGTGGAAACTATATGTACCGCCTGCTGTAACAATCAGTAGATGTGCGTTTTGCATTTATGGGGTTCGTATGACTGTCAGTGTAAACAGAGCTTATTTCCTCAAACGGCATTAAGAAATTAATCTCTGTAATGGTGAAATGTTGCGTTTACTTTGAGGTACGGCCAGAATTCATAAAGAACAATTAGACAAGCATCGGCTTCAAAGAATTAAATTAAAATCACACCTTGTTCAAATCGGGCAATAGTAAATAAACATGCAATTTCCAACAGGAACATCTCATGTACTGTAAAGAGACAGAAACGAGCGAGGACGTTGCAGACGAAGCCATCCTAAAGTAGAGTAGACCAAGAGTGTTAGTGTCATCATCCGGCGAACTGTATGTATCTGAATGACCATTAACATGTCACGTTGAAGTCACGGAGGGGTGCAGGTAGTTCATGCACCATCACAAGAACGCAGGACAAAATTGTGACAAAACACAGCTAATAAATATTTAGAAAATGTAGGAAAGTGTACATATTCGAAAATGACTGCAGCTAATAACAATCACGTTCAGGAAAAAATTGTGAGCAGATTGAATTATGGGAATGCTTGCTATCATGCAGTTCGAAATACTTCTATTTGAAAACGTAAAGATTAAAACATGAAAACTATAATTTTACGTATTGTTTTCTGTGAGCTTCAAACTTGGCCTATTACACAAGTACAAAGTTTCAAAATTGTTTCCAGGACGGAGATTATTGTATAATTGAAAGCATCTCGATTTATAAACTTCGCTAAATATTATGGATCTAGGTGGGTTATGGAATATGCATGCTGCACAAAATTTTATCCCGTAAGCGTTAAAAGAAGGGATAACTAGAAAGATCTGGAAGTATTTGGGGGTATCGTGTTACATAGGATCTTATAGAAATACGACATGGACTGAATTCAACTGGCTGAGGATACGAACCAGTGGCGGGCTATTGTGAACACAGTAATGGTCATTCGGGTTCCACATACTCATAAGGTGGAGGAATATCTTGACAAATAAAGTGGCCATTAGTTTTCCGAGGACCCTGTTTCGTGGAGAGATTGTACTAAAACTGCAGACTCCAGTGGTAGCTTTACTAGAGTAGTGCACTACACTCGATTTATTCGGGTTCCATGTCGCGTCTATAAATAGGACCGACCGGTCAGACGTGTGCAGAAACCATTCGATTCTGCGAAAATCTTATTATTTATTCCCGACTAGACGATCATTGCTACAACAGTGTTTGTGTGACGTCATCAGCGGCGTACTACATTATTTGTACTAGGGAATTTTCCATCACTATCAGTACCAGCATCACTCGACTGCCCCTCATTCTATTACGTCACACGACCCCCCCCCTGTCCTTTTTTATAGCCGAAACATGATTCTTGAGCTTTAAGCCTAATATGAGGAAGTTCATTAACAAAACCTCAATTTCTGTATCACTGGTTCATGAATCAACCCAGTCACCAACCTGCGATATAAATGCTACTTTCAATGTACACAACTTCATTTTCCATACCGGTTTGTTCAAATACAACACGATGTTTTCGTTCAATAGTTGGTAGTCGCACTGCTGGGATTTTAAGATAAAAATGTGTTTGCATTTGTCATTTCCACATCTATGCTACATGTACCACACATCACCATTTTCTATTTAATGACATTAATTTTACATGAAGTATGGGTATTACAGAGCTCTTTAACATGTATTTTAGCTTCATTGATAAAATTTCCATACAGAAAGTTCATGTGGTACTTAATTTTTATAATTTGTAACAGAAATACACATTCCTAACCTCCAAAAAGCACAGCATGGAAAAATAAATTATATGAACCAATAAGAGTCCAAGCAAACTATTTCCATTATTTTTTCACATATTTGCTTCCAATTATCATCAGATGTCTTCCCATAGGACCAGGACTGGAATGTTTTCAACAAAGGTTATGTTTATTAAACTTAAGCAATTGGTTCAAACATCAAAAAGAAACACGCACAGAGCACAGTGATATCATAGGCCTACACATTTTCATTAAGAAGGTAGACTAAAATGTATTAGAAAACTAAGGCAGGACAATATTTGACTGGAACTGTAAGAACAAAAGTAAAATCTTTTTAAAATGTAACATCTGCACTATGAAACAAAAACTTCAGTGCTACTAATCAGAATTTATGCACTTGACCATCTGCCTCACACAGGCATGAAGATTCCTCCAGGATGTCTGAGCATTAGTCATGCCTGTTGACTGGAATACGTTTTTAATGCAAAGGTGTGATTACACACACACAAAAAAACAGAAGTGGGAAGTTTTGAAACTGCTGCCTGGAAACAAGCTTATCATAATGGATATATTTCTTAATTTCAAATAGACATATTAGAACACATTAAAGACATCAGTAGAAATATCAATAATCAGTAAAATTAGAATCATTAAACATACATATAATATTTGTTTTAAAAAACAATTGCTGTTCTGAACAATATTTGTCGCAAGGTACGCGGATTCGCACGTTGCACCACGCACATCGCAATCGGCTGGCTGCGACGCAAGCTAGCTCATGCGGAGATGTCTGGTTCGGTCTCATGAGAAATGCACCCAGAATCACCAGACTCATACAGGATATTGTCTAGCTGTTGCACCATCAACACATCACCTTTCTTGTTTCCATCAACTGTAGTTTTATCCAGTGTAATGTTCTGAAAACTGTAAATCACAGGACATCGCATATAATGCACATCGCGGACAGACACAGAAGTAAAGAAAACATAAAGCAGCATAAATGTTGGTTTTAAACGTTGGTATCACTGATTGGTTTAACTGCACTAATACAAAACACGTGCATCACTGAGGTCACTACGCAATTTATCAATTACATTAATATGAAAATGCATTCTGTAGATCAGTGGTCCCCAACGCGGTGCCCGCGTTGTTACAGAAAGAGGTTACACTGAATAATGAAGGCTGTTGAACCATGAACATTATAAAATCAAAGCGCAGATCTCGACTTACTGGCACCCATCTTGACGATTGTTTGCGAGCAGCAACATCATCCTACACTCCCAAATTTGAAAAACTGGCCGATGAAATGCAGCGCCAAACATCACACTAACTTCCCACTTGAGTAATAATAATTGTACTTATAAAAGTACGTATTTTTGATTGCACGGTTTCTTGTATCATTAAACGTTGTGTTGTTTTGCGCATTATTTGGTGTCCATATCTTATTCGTCCAGAGAAAAGAAAATTTGGCTTTGTTAATTGGTTGGTGCCCGCCACGATCTCATAAACTCTCAAATGTGCCTATAGGCACAAAAGGTTGGAAACCACTGCTGTAGAACAACGTTAAACAAATTTTTAGGTTGATGTGTTATCATTCTTAAAATGTTGCTCACATATGATTATTTTATATACAATAGCTAGTTTACCTGGCTGTATGAATCCAATAAGAACTGTTCCGCAATTAAAATCTTACCTTTCTAACATAACAACTGACCCCACACGTCGACTGTCCGCTCCTTCACCAAATTGCTGGATAATCTCAATTTTGACACCGTACTCAGAGCAATCTGACACATGACACTTCTCCAGCATAATGGTCGAATCTTCACACATCTGGAACACATAAAATTATAATTGTTCTGTGTTATGCTGTTCAACATATGTGTGGTTACAAAGGCACTTCTCCATGTGTTGTTCCATGCAGTCTGACAGATGAATGATCACCCTAATGATGGAGGCAGCGAGAAGACAGCCATCTTCAGACTCACCGCTGTGAAAACCTCAAATCCTACTAATGTAGTAATAAATCTAATATTAATATAAATCAAGTTAATTTTTTACTTCTTGCTTTAACATACTCACCTTTATTCCTGTACTACAAGACGTGATCTTGCAGTCTGTTAATGTGACTTTTGCATCATGATCAAGCACAATGCCATTTCCAAAATTCAGAAATTCACAAGTTTGTGCTTCTAAGTGGCCACCTTTGAGTACAAGAATCCCAGTGCTACTTGTGTTACCTCCTCCCACAACACAACAATTTCGCATTCGTACCGTCCCATTTCGGACAGATAATGCCATCTGTACGAAATGAGCATCGATTGCTATGTTTTCTAGTGTAACATTTGCTGACCAGTCCAGTAATACATTTCCTGGTTCATGGGCCGCTATAGTTGTGGCAGATGGTTCAAGGAATCCTAAGGGGAAAAATCAGAAATACATGTTTATACTCCTTTCATAATGCAAAATAACAAGAAAAAATTAATCTTAAATTTATTTGCATTACTGAGAACAAAAATGTACTCACCAAAACAATCTTTGCCCAGAAAAAGTGTCAAGTTCATGCTAAGCAGTTCCTTTATGACATACTCAAATAGGAAAATTAACTGCTGACAGTTGTCTATTCGTAATGCCTATTACAATTTACTAAAACACCAATTTAGACAAATTCTAACATGAAAACTCTAACAATATGAAGTTCATTTTCTACCAAATGCCTTATGAAAGCATTCTCCCACGACAAGAACTGCTTAATTCTTTAACCATAACTTATTTTATCAAACTTATTAAATGATTACAAAACATGATCTGAAGTTCATGGATCAAAGTGCTTACTGAGAAGCAGTCCCTCCCTACCATTCACAAAACCCAAATCATCATTTCTGAGTACATAAAAGCCAGCTATTGGAAACTATCCAAGTCTGATTTAATGTAGTGAACAAGTGGTTAGCACTCCTGCTTAGTATGCAGGAGGTAACAGGTTCAAATCTCAACTTGAAGACAGGTTGAGATTTGACCAGACTGAGGACTTCAATAATTTTCTTCAGTCTCTCCAGACAAATGCCAGAATTGTACCATAAATTAAGCCACGACCACTCCCTTCCTCTTTATTCCCAATTCATTAGTTGTTAATCATCCTAATATTTTACATTATATAGTCTAAGCTACTGAAAACATTAAATAAACCACAATTAAATAAATATTTAAGTCCAAGGCAATGTAACATTATATAACATGTTAGTTGTGTAACTCCATTTTAAAAATGAATAATATATGAGTTAGCTTGACAGAAACAAATCACACCTTTCCAGAAATAGGTGGATTGGTTGTCCGCATCATGTCAGTATGTAAGAGCACTAGGGTGCAGGTGTCCAGATAAAACAATTCTAGTTTCTGACCCTGTATCTCCTGCTCTTATTCTTCTGAAAATTCCTGAAGCTTCAATGCCACGAACACCATGGCTTGTTTCTGGACAGAATTGTGAACTTACCAGCTACTATCCCCTTTCAGAAAGAATCCTTAGTATCCAATAAGAGACTTGGTTCTGATGTGGCAAAGACAAAAAGTCTACCCTCCAGATCAGTTAAATTTGCACTATAGCTATTGATATTCACCCATAATGTTGCCACCCTCCTCAAGTCCGCCAGTACTGGAGGCATGATGGATCCCTGGACAAAGTATTATTGTATCTCCAGCAATTGCTTTATCCAAAGCTTCCTGCAGCAGTGGGCATGACCTAGAATTGCATGTCCATTTTTAAACAGTGAGGGCATGACAGAAGTGCCTAACATCTTACAAAAAACAGTTTCTTTGTCCAATTTATTTATGTTATGTGTGTATGGCACAATATCCAATTGAATCCAGTGTAAATCTGTTTAATCTTGCAATAGATATGTTGATTTAACATGCATAAATTTTGATAAATTATGCAATAAGCTGACCCCGCGTCTAAGAACTGTGAAGGTATGCACGGATATGGAACTAAACAGTCATTTACTCAAAAACTTTGGAGACGGTACGCAGTAATTCAGCTTCAACTTTACATTTCACAGCATGTCAACCATAATATTATGACGTTGTTAAGTGCACTGTTAATATAATCTTGCAGTTCATCTACTTACCACCAGATGCCAGTATTTCACAGCATAATCACAGAATATCAAACATAATCCCATAGAAATATGCCAATTTTAAATATTGTGGGCTAGTAAACTTGATGCACTGCCAGCAAAAACTCCTCCGCCAGCAGATTGGGACCTGTGATTTCAATTCCCTCATGCAGAAGAGCTAACATACGTCCAAATGAAATTTGACAGACTTCGTACTTACTTGATATATGTTTCAGGTTGAACAAAATTTCTCACTTGTGTCAGTGTGTTAATGAAAGCATCTACTGTACCACCCAGCCACACAAAACACACTTCATGCGAGTGTTCTCGATGCTGTCTCCTTGCTTGCACGACTTCATATTTTCTCTTTACCACAAGATTCCTGAAAAAAGTTTATTTTGTTCTGTAAATAAGCCAAATGCCACATGAGTAAACTTCAATTTACAATGTACTTACCTTCCTGTAAATTTCTGTGCATTGTACAAATATGTAAATCAAGGCATTTTTCCCATAGACTAAAGATACAATAAGAATTATGTATGGGCAAATATTTTCAATGGTACTTCTTTAGTTCGGTAATCAAGATTCAAAGCTTTCTCTGAATCAAGATTAGCAACTGTAATTTCAAAGCTGAGAAATTTTAACTTTGTTCTTGAATTTAGCACCATCTGCCTTTCTCTGGACCTTTTTTAACATGCAAACCATGCAAATGCATAAATATGGAATGTTCCAACAAATTAAAACTGCATACTTATGAAAATGAGCAATATAAGATAATTAAATTGAAATACACCTGCAGCCATGTCTGTGTAAACTCTATCTTATGTTCAGAAAGTTCTACTATAATAAACAGAGAGAAAATTAAGTATATTATTCCTATACAGAAACCCAGCAATCCACCTGCCTCATTAATGGATTTTCTAGAATTTCAATTTTTCTTTTGATTTCTTCCCGTCGGATCTGTAGCTCCATCATTGCCAAAGCACCAGTCTCATCTATTTCATCTGAGTCAGCTTGTTCTTGTGCAGCTTGAATCTTCTGTTCAATTTCTCTCGCTTCTTGAAGTAACAAACGAATATGTTGCCCAGTCTCATGCAGCACTACTCCCGATTGCATGTCATAGTACCTGCAGAATTAACGAATTCTAATGTACAGAACAGTCCGTTATTTTGTTACACAAAACATGTTGAGAAAGCATTTATGAGAACGAAGTAATATATGTCTCATGTCATACCGCAGAAACTCTATTCAGTATTACCTCTTCATTGTTTCTCTGGCATATGCCAGAGTAGTTGTCAAAGTTAGCTTTGAAGAACTGTAAAATGTCCAATGCTTTAATTAGATACTGCAAGCATATAGTAGACCTATACAAAATTTTGCCACACTAAAGTACACATTCTTGTATGCATAAAACAAAATGTCCTTGTGCACTAACATCTATTAACATTTATAAACAGACTTGTAATTCTGAACCCATACATAACCATATGACTTGTTATGAAATTTTAAAATATGAACACGTTTGAAAAATGTCTCTATAGCACATGCAGAAACGAGTCTAAATTGGGTGACATATTTTTACTCTGAAGATTTATAACATAACAAAAATTGCAAAAACATGCTTTAAAGAAACTCCAATATGCTTTTCAGATATTACTTTTAACCATAAGTAAAACATTCTTCAAAATGTTTTGATAAACATGGTGGTAAGGAAGTGAAGGCCCCTCTCACCATCTGTTTGTAAATGTGTACAATGCAATTAAAATAAATTAGCAAACATTTTATCAGCATGCATTCAGCTTGCTCCCTCTATTTTTATTTCTAGCTTTACTGGAAAACCTACAATTGAAGTCGAGCTTCAAGATGGATAAACAGCCAGTCCTGGTTTTCATCATCACAGTCCCATGGCCGCCAGAGATGATTGTAAAAGAACCTGCCACAGAATATACATCGTTAACCATAAAGCAATATTACACAAAAACACAGAAGAAATCTGACTGACATAGAACAGTTTTGAAGTTAAAAACTCGTTAATAAAACATAAATAACTTCTTAAAACATGAAAATGTCATGTAGAGTCCTAGTAACTAAATACCATACAAGACTAGAATGACTGAAAATCATTTATGTTCCTCTGAAACCAAATTAAAATCATTCTCTTTTATTTCTCTGTCAGTACTTATCCCACTCTACCCACATAATCAAAAATTAGTGCATTCTGAATCTAACTATTTGAACTTTTATCAGGCAAACTGTACCCACCTGAGCTGGTCTAAGCAATTTGCTGTGCAGTTAATATCAAGCACTTCATTTTCCTGTTGCTTTGTGGGATACAGGCTTGTCAAGGGAACCTCATGTTGTTCTGGCAGACTAATGTCATCTTGCACTGCCACAATATCAACAACAGCCTCCAGCTCTTGGAAAATCACATCCCTCACCTAAATTTCAATGTGTTTCAACCACATAACAGGACAAGTCTGTAAAAACTCATCAGTCATTTTCATAATAACAAGAATACTGTGATACCACAAGATTGTTTCTGAAAAAGTCAAGAGTACAAACAAACAACATGAAGATAATAAGTGGTACATAATACTTCATTAAAAACAAAAAATGTGATAAAATGAAACCCATGTAAAAAAAAAATATGACTGATTTACAGTTCATAGTAGTTCAAAACATTGCAATACTCCATATCGAACATTCTCAACTGAAAGTAAAAATACAATGAGGACCATGCAAGAAAAGGAGGGAATGACAATGACTGGAATAAACTTTGGTATAAAAATAAATTTAATTAATGTGAAAACTTTCATACCATTACAACAACAAGTGTAGGAAACTGAATCTCAAACTCTTCACACTTCCGCCGTGAAATTTTCCAAATTGCCTGCCAACCTGCAGGTTCCAGTAAACTTTCAATATAGTAATACCATTCATTTTGTATACCAGATGATGGCAGATGACCTCTTGCACCCAAGATATCCATATACTCACTGAGCCTTTGTTGAAATGATTTTTCAAATGTAATAATATCTGGAGACATGTCTGGAACAAATACAGAACATTAGGTTACTTCAAGAGAGGTTTCATAGTTTATATGCTACTCTTAACACTGACAAACAACACCTATGTAAGTTGGCTGTGGATTACACAATGCCACCATTACCAAGTCATTCTTTTGCTCAAACATCATAGCAATAATTAAATAAACCTATTGGAAGCAAACAATTTATAACTGCATTTTTCTTTGAGACTTGCAAGTAATGGTAAATTTACCATGAAAAATTACTGGCCTACTGATCAGAAACCTGATGATAGGACTGATATCTTTAAGCCTCAGATAGATTCCAGGTTCATTACCATGTGATTCATACACAAAAAACCTACTGAAGCAACTGAGGCATTCTAAACAAATAAAATACTGTATCATCATTGACCAAATTCTTGGATTACAGAAAGAAATCGATCTACTACATTGACAGAAAGCAGAGAGTCAGACTCTCCAAATTAATTATAAAGTACAGACCAATTAAAACAAGAAACCAAAGATATATACCATGAAATGTTGACCTAAAGTCAACAGATAAACACTTTGGCAGTCTGTCACTGCATATAAAAATTCCAAAAATTACGGAAAAGAGTTTTCTTTTTCCGAATTAAAAACATCTTGGTGTTTTGTGCAATTAAACACGATTTTTATAATATTTATGGGCAGGTTATGGCCTGCAACAGAATCAAACCCATTGTCCTGACAACAAAATAGATCCGTAAGTTGTGGTTCAATAACAGCGTGAAACCAACAGTAAAAATACTTACTGCACAACAGATATTACTCAAACAAAATGTAACGGCTGAACTTGAGTGAATATACAACAAATCTACAATCGAATATTTGCCGCCCCACCTTAGTCGTCCGTTACCGCTTAAATTATATATACACAGATAATAAACTTATAGCACAGAAAAAGGACACGTTACAACATACGTTAACATGTTTGAACGTCAATAATAAACTGATTATTCACAGACCACGAAAGATGGCGCAAGTTATCAAGTCATGTACTCATTGAACCAGTTGGATTATCTATGCCTCATACCATCATTCCGACCCAGACTTAAAATCACTGGGTGGCACTAAAATCGCCATTCTTCATTGCCTACAATCGATAATACCAACGTACCGGCCACAAAATCTCGATGCCACTCAAGAAACTAAAAAATGATGTATGCCAAATCCGTGAAAAACAACTTTTTCTGTTATTCTTAGTGCGATTGAAACAATAAAAATTTGTGATCTTATTCGAGTTACATCCCACAACCTGCACAAGAAACTAAAGCCTTGTCAAAAATTACACTACTTAAAACAATATTACAAATTTTGTCAATAATGTTGTAACAAATGTAACAAACATGAACGTCCACAACGGAATTTAAGGTTAAAACAGTTTATTGATTTATGTAACAGAAACATATGTTTCATAGTCACTTGCTTGAAGGTGAAGTAGCTCATTAATTCCAATTCAACATTCTTTAGTGTTTGTAAGTCTTATAAAAGTATGAGCCTTTGCATTATCTGAGTGTGTTTGACAACTATGTTGGTGAATGAGGTTTGATTTTCAGAGAGGTGATTTTTTTTAATCACCTGCCATGTCAATAAAGACTATTAAATTTCACCAATTTTTAAAAATATTTGCAATTATTTCATGTTCCATTGTTGTCCTGACAATGGAGCACAACTAATATGATGAAAGTGTGGATGATAATACTGGTGATTACTTTTTACTTGTTTACAAAAGGTTACTTTTGAAGGTCTCTTTTGAATATCAGAATACACGTCTTGGTATCCATTTTCAGTTACACTTGGTATGAGTGCCAAACAAAATTTCTGAAACATGTAGTTGAATAATACATAACTGCAGAGTTTAAATTAGTATTTGTGAAGATACAACATATGAGTTTAATAATAATAATAAAAAACACAGAGACTTGAGCTATCATACTATCTTCTTAACAATGCTATTCTGCCACGCTATGGCCTCATCTACCACCGGATGTAGAGCCAAGCAAAGTAGTGTTCACCTTGGTTTTGTTGTTATGTCTCTCCTAGTGACATGGTTTAAACATTTTATTATCATTAATTTACATCCTCTTCAAATTAGGTACACATACTGGTGTCTTTGATTAACACACATCTGGCATAAATAATTTTAATTAAAGGAAAGTAGAGAAAATCCACATATGGACAAATACAAGATTACAAATGAGTGGACTTATGACACCAGCTGCATGCTTACATTACCTCTGGTCTGGGATTTAGGAAATTTCAAGCGCTTGATTTTTGTTACATGCTGTCTTAAAGGGAAAACAAACTTTGCATATTTGTTTTTCTAATGTCTTTAAAATGTGTTATATTGTAGGTAGTACATGAAATTATAACAGTTTTCAACCAAATTGGCGGCTGAAGCATGCACCAATCACATAAACTGTGCCATGGTAGGAAGTAGTGGTGGGAGGTGGATGGGCGAGAAAGTGAGGAAACAACATACAGTGGTGCCGGATGTAGCATCGTGGATCATTGGTTTCCAGTGAATGTTTACAACACTATGCAAAGAAGATGTGAGAACTGGCAACAATGCATGCGGCAGCTGATGCTTCCATCACACAGTTCCTGAACAGACTGAGGTCTAGCTGCTTACCAACAGACCTTCTTTGCACTGATTGGTCACTCACAAAGAGCAGAACTCGACTCAGCCGCCAATTCCGCTGAAAAATACTATAGCTGGCAAGATCTGTGGTAGTTAATTTTTAGTTTGGCAAGTACACCTGACACAAGTTTCTAAGCCTTGTCAATATGTGACACAAGGCAAACAGGAGGTTCTGCGGGATTACATAGTCATTTTTCAAGGAGAAGAAAAAGGAGGGATAAGACAGGAATCAGCCCTGCTAAATCCAACTTCTACTGGGATGAGACACAAAACTAGCAACAATTTGGCAATTTTCACATACAGTACCAAATTCAAACCTTCTATAAAAATTTGTATTCTGCTGATCTTCATCATTATAAATGCTGTCCTAAATCATATAAACTTGAAAATATACTTCATCTATGAAAGCTGCTCCCCTGGTAGCATTCTCTGCTGGTCTTAAATTATTTTCACTGACATGTGGCAACTTTATGAAACTTGTCCTCCAAGTATCTTCAAATTATTGTCTGCTTCATCAGTGCAATAAAAAAGGTGTTGGCAGGTACAGTTATTCAACTCATTAAGTAATATCTTGTCCTTGTACTTTCTGTGAGGTAAAATCTTCAATGTGCATTCCAGACGTGTCTGTAAAGAAAAACAAACAGTAATCAATAAATAATACAAACACAATTTAGCTACAAACTCAAATATGCTCTTGTAAATGAAATAGATCATTATCAGATACACATTACCATAAGTTTACAGAATTGCTGAAACAATAACACCAGTCAGCATTGCTTACATATAAACAACATTAAATTGCCATTTTAAAGTAGTATTAAAATACTTTAAAAGAATGTATTTTTCTTGTAGTCTGTTAAATGTGTTACATTTTATGTCGCTTGCATAACATGTTAACATGAAACAGTGTTGACACGAACATGAGCTAGGCACACAATCCATGTCAAGATGATATGCATTTTGTTACAACTCTCAATACACATTATGATCTACAAAATTTCAAACACTGCACACTGAAAACTTCTTCCACCTGTTGTAACTAACCACAACTACTTCCAGTTCACATACTGAGGGATCAAGTCATTTTTCAAGATCCATGCAGAAAGCTAAAGATGTCTTATGGATTGTTGTGTCATGTAGTCTTGTAGTGATTTACCAACTTTTCAAAGGTTCTTACTGCCTCCATCATCAGGATGATGTACTCTATACCTCTACCAGACTACATGGCGTAACAACTCAGATAACATCCATCTTCACACTAGCTGCCGTGAAAACCTGAAATCTCAGTAGGAAGCTGGTTTCCTGCAGTATGTGTACAAAGAAAAATATTTTAATTCATATTATTTCTGTGCTGAAATGTGACTTTGAAATAACAAAAACAAGTTTCACTGTAGTATTCACTCAAACAAACTTACAGTATAAATACCTTATGACTAATTCTTCCCTATTTCCAACCACCAAATTCTATTACATAATTTAGTTCTTTGGTCACATTAACTGGGTTAATATAAGGGGTGGCCCAGCTATGCCATAAGCCTGATATATATATAATCTGTGGCATAACAGCCCTATGAGAGCCAAAGCCGACTAGCTGGCTGCTGGCCTCACGTTCACATGCCTAAGCAGAGGTGAACGATCATCCAACCAGATATAGAATGACGTGTGGTCAACACGACGAATCCCCCAGCCATTGCTAGTTTTCATAACCGGATTATGCTACTGATTGTAGCTCCCCAATTTCCTCACGATGCTGGGTTGGCACCAGTCCCATACACTGGTCAAAAATCTCACGAGAAATTTCTTTCCCAGAGACTCAAACCAGCGTGCATTCTGTATCACTGGTCCGAAGCATGATGCCTCAGACCGTGCGGCTACGGCGCAGGACGCCTTAAGCCTGATGCCAACAGAAAACATTTATACACCTCACTACTCACCAAACTGCACAAGGATGTATTCATGTTTACAGTTTCTTTGTTTAGTCTTGTTGTAAATAGTGTTTACAGATAATTAAATTCATATTCAAAAGCCAGTATTTAAATGAACTCAGTGTACATTACTCTAGTGAATACATTTTCTCTTTCTACAACCAGACTTGATTTGCAAATAGAAAATTTTATGGTACAACTCATAACACTGATGCACACAATTATACAGAACTAAATAAATAAAATCTGAAGAGAGGGCTGACTTATTGGTTCTTGGTTTATTTAATGACAGTACTTCAAGCGCATGATCAACATGATGAAAAATGTCCGTCACCTGACAAAGATTTGAACCTGGAGCCTCCCAAACAATTCAGAAAATAATGAGTGGGAGTTCTGCCTGTAGAGGGCAGTTCTTTTTTAGGTGGTCAGTTATGAGTATCCGATGCTAAAGACATCAAGAATCTTGAATTATTCTTTGTTATTTTCACAACTCCACAACCGCTTTAAAATACATTCTGTCTTAACCACATTAACTTGATCAATTAATTTACATTAATTTTTTTAAGACCCACATTATTTAAAGGTCTAAATACATATATAGAAGTAGTATGAACACGATAAAAAAATGTTTTCAATAGAAGTTGCAGGAAACCACAACATACATTCAATATTTTCAAAGGACATATCAACTTTGACAAAATCACTAATACAATAACAATACCTATTATGGGTGCACCATCAAAAGTGATGTCCAACCTCCTGCTATCGCCCTGCCTTGTAGCTCTTGCCCGCTCGATTTACAATGCATTGCACATACCTAGACAGCAGACAGATGTCATGCGTAAATGAACAGTACCTCTTTAATGCCACCCCTAGGGTGCATTTCTTCATTCTTCTCATCGCGCAGTGTTTCCTATCTTCGCATCTTGCCCAACATCTTGGTTGTGTGTTACATTCCTTGCTGTTCATTTCTGTAGCAGTATCATCTCTAATGTTCATAATCTATTTGCCAACTTCAGGTACCCGATATTGGGAATTAGGCTGTACAAGGGAAATTAAAAATGTTTTGGCAATACTGGAAGAAATCACCGTATGATTGGCAACGCTGCTGAGGCCTGGTCATACTGTAGCTAAAGGTCAGACAATAACATGCTGTGAGTGTGCCTCAGATGTCCATTTACACTGAGTGCGTATGGCATAAAGATGGTTGCAACAACAGAGGTCTGCACAAATTTGAGCAAGGTCTTGCAACAGTTTTAATAGTTACTCTTCAGTTTCCAAGAATAATTTATTGAGAACACTCCATGTTTAATTTGTTTCTGGATGCTTTTTTTACATGTCTGCATCAACACCACTGGTTTGACTGCTTTTAAATATTTTGATCCACTGACACACACTTCACTGATGCAACATTTCTATCCATGTCCATACTTGGCGATGGATGTCTTCAAACACAACAAAATGCACTACTGCATCTTGCTTGTCCTTGGTGAAAACCTCTAATAGAGCAGTCACATTTACAACATGCTCACTTGGCAAAAATAAACAACTCAGCTATACTTGCAGTATGCCATTATCTGACCTCTAACAACAGAATGACCTGGCATCAGTAGCATTGCCAACCATACAACAAAAATATTCCAATAATGCTCTTGCTTTCTGAATCTCCTTCAAATAATTATGAATTCTGGTCACTCTTTATGAGTGGAAGCACTGAAACCAAAGCAGGTGTCACAACTTCTTTCAGTTTCACAGATTAAGAACTCTGGACCTGCAATTAACTTTACTTAGTGACCCATTTCGACACATGGCAGGTCTCCTTGGACTGACGATCAGTCCATGAAGACATGTTCCAATCAGTATTTGAACCTACAATCTGATGTGAGCTACCTTAAATCCATGAATGCCTGAAAATGTGGCTGTCTGCGGAGACTTCATTCATGAAAAATGTAAGACTTTAGTTGTTGCACACAATACCTTCAGCTAATAATGCTGGTGTCACTGCAGGATTTATAAAATATAATTCATAACAAACTCATCATTATGAAACATTACCCATGTTGCTGGGCTCCACCGTAACTGCAGTGCTGTCCCCTGTCCCTGGCTGCAGGAAGCTGCTGAAGTGGTCAGCAATACCAGATTCAAGAACTTGCTCATTCAGTTGGTTTGACTGAATAACATAAAGCATATCCGTATGATCTGAAGCTTTCACAGCAATTAAGTATAATAAATTCTTCTCAGGCTACCAGCTGTGTAAGGCAGTTTATGTTTTCTCCATTAAACCACCTTACATGGTTGGTGGCCCAAGAAGAATTCATTATAAAGCACATATTGTGAAACAACACTGTAGCAACTGTTATGAAGGTTAATTTCATCTTTGTACTAAAGATATTTGCTGTACTGGTGACTTGAGACCATGCAGTAAGAGATGTGTGTGTGAAGTAATTCTGTGGCCTTGAAACATCCAATTTAGTGATGGCTGCTACAATCCCAAAATAGCTTATTCAGTTTCTTCCAGGGAAACACTTCACTTTTCCATATCAGTTAGGTACAAAGTGCTATTTTCAATAATAAACCCTTTTCATAAATCCAAACACAAACCTTGCACCCAAATACAAACCTTTTGGAAAAGATGTATGTGAATCATGCAATGAAATACAGCACAGCACTAAGTGACACCAGTTTATGAATGATGAATAGCAGGAGGATGCAGAAGAATATTTGAAATACTTTTGCCTGATGGAATGAGGAAAACCATAAGAATCCTTATTCAGGATAACTGATCTTAGACCTGGTTCACAGATTCACCTGAATATGAAGTGAAAATGTTAATCACCAATCTATGAATTCAGTTGCTAAATTCAGGCATTCTTATCCAACACACATTGTCAGTACAGAAGATGACTCACTTGCTTATTTAGAGATTCCACAACCATGGAAGATTGTGTATAGTGCAACACCTGTTTGCTCTGGTGACTGCAATCTGATATTCCACCATTACTGCCATGGTCTGTTGTTTCTGATGGCTCTGTAAGATGCAGTCAGGCAAATATGAATGAAAGCTCTTCAGACAAAACCATTATGACACAAAAATCACTATTAACAAAATTCAAGGCACATTTTTGGGCCTTCTTATATGAATTTTCTTAATATTCATGTTAAAAAAGTATTTAAAAATACATTATAACCAACACCCATGACTCTTTAGATGCAAACAGTCATAACACATATGTTTTACTATATTTAGTTTGTTATGTGTTGAAAACAAATTTAACCAACACACAAGTGTTCATACATACCAATTAATGAAGTAATATCTTAGAATAAAGTCTCATAGCAAGTATGCTAATTGCTCATCCACTTTTAACATTAAGACCTCTGTGGTTTGTATATTAATCATAAGTCCTGAATATCCCCCTAGACTATGAAGTCAGTAAGTGTCTATAGAAAGTTAAATTAATCTTAAAGTCAATAAATATGTTAATTCCACTGTGATTTTACATTAATAAGAAGAAAAAGTAATTTCCTTAAAAGAAAAACTAAACACAATACAAGATAATGACAAGACACGTGGGCATTTGGTAAAACAACTTGGCCATCAAAAATATTTATATAATTTGCTTGGGAACTTAATTGTAGATAATTGGAATGGAACTACAAATATTGAATGTTAAATGAGCAGGAACCCTTAAGCAACATAAGAGTAAACAATGATGCTATTGTAATTACATATGTGATGAGCTGCAAACACATACCCATTCCATCTTCTATGTACTGAAAAGAATCAAGATTGATGTCAGCTGAAGCTAAAGCTGTGCTGAATATATCCATCGTGCTGGATGCAGAGGAAGTAGGCACAATCCTGACTGCAGAACTAGAAGTGTCTCTACCAGAATCAATCGCTTCCCCTGAACAGAAGTAAGAAAAATCTCTAATACAGGAAAAGAGAGAGATAAATATAAAAGAAAGACATTCTTTGAAATTTTGTTGCAACATTGGCTTTGATGGCCATTTATTTCAGATACAAACCCATTGTTGCAAAGCTAAACACAATACAGACACAACACTGCATTAGGACAATTATTTTTACTTGTATTTTATTAAATAATGACCAGATTAAAAACATTTCAAATAACAGCTGTACATTTTTATAAGGTCTATACTTTGTCATTTACCAATTTTTGAGAAAATCAAGATCTTTGTAAAGAGGAAGTCATACTGGCTTATTTAAATAAAAATTAAATTAATCAAACATTCACTACACATCTCCAATGCCAAATTTCATTAAAATTAATTCAGTAGTCTTAGAGATGAAACAAGTGGATGGACAGACATGGTTTCCCCATTCTGCATTTACTGCATGCAGTTTCTGTAAAAACATCAAGCATGCTCCTGTTTTGCCCATGCAACAAGGAGCATAACAGTGGATTATATCGGGGCTCTCCAGACAGCTGTTTACACAGCTAGTGGTCAGCATATCATTCAAGGAAGAAGACTGGACTCTAGATCTAGGAGGAAGAGAATCAAAGCGGGCCAGCTCTCTTCAAAAGACTGACATACATATATGATATACCACATACTACCTGCTGCAGCTCCTGGTTGATGAATAGAGTAGATTCCAGTCTGAGGGTCAAGTTCACCAATCACCTCCATCACTTCATGACTTCCAGAATCACCAATATCCTGTTGGACCACCCGGTGCAGGTTAGTATTGCAAGCATTCTGAGAACACGTTCACAAGGAAATAAACTTAAAAAACTCAAGTAACTTGGGACATCTGGCAGGAATGGCTGTAAAAATTCTGTGCACAACTTTAAATAACACAGCAGCAAAAACAGTTCCACTTTCCTTTTAAAAATACTAACGGCTCTAAGTTATGTCTTTTTAACAAAGTGTTGCATGTTAGGAACAGATGCAAGTGCTCTGAGTCCCAAGTTTCTTTTCCACCCACAAAATATTTTATTTTCTGGATTTTTCATGTAAACATTACTCACTTGTACTGTGGGAGTGCCTGTACTGGAAGTTGGCACAGTGTCTGCAACTTGAATTCCAGCCTGACTAAGCAGCACTCTAGTCTCTGCAGTACCCGATTGACCAAGCAGTTCCACCGCTTCCTCTGTATCAATCACAGATATAATTTCCAATTACACTAGGCTACAAAATCCATCCAACCACTGAAAGGTGACAAAGTGTGATGGTCTCTATTCTTTTCCAACAAAATGTCACTACTAAATTCAGTAACAAACTGTAGGCAGGTAAAAGAAACAGTTCTATGAAAGAAAGAAGCTGAAATGAATAAGGAAGTTCTGGACATGTGTATACTATGCTATTTCATTTAGCACCTCAACAAAAATGTCAGCAAATCCATTTCCTCTAGGGGGAAAAAAAAGTTACTTTTAACTTCTGTGTGATGCATTTTTAGGTACCCCAATTCTATTATTTTTATGGAACAAGCTTGTAAAAATAAACATTTCACTCCATTCTATTATTTTTCCAACTCACAGAGCATCTTCTAAAAAAGAAAACAGAGTTCAGTTACCGGACATATAAATCAGTATTAATGCATCATAGTACCTAGAGTGACAACTCTTCCTCCAGCCATGTCCACAGGTAATGACATTTCTCCAACAGGTGCTTTTGAAATGGCTTCCAATGGCGGTGCTGAGTTCTGAGCTGTTTCCTCCTTGGGTGGTTCATTTATTTCTACCTCAATGGGAGCATGTTTCTCTTCAGTGTCTATTTGGATCCATTCTGATGATGCAGCTGTTGGGAAGGGAATGCACAGTTAAAATAATGCACAACATAAGTTTGAAATTATTATCTAGAACTGACAAGCACGAGCCAGAAAACAGAGGAAAATAACCAACAGTGCTGCACTGTTAACTCTCATGTGCAGTAGCAGTACAGTGTATTTGATTCTAATTAAAAATACATTTATAAATGTATCTGAAAGAAGAAGAAACCAGAAACTATCAGCTTCTCAAGAAGGAATACACTGCATGGAGTTTACTACTACCCAAAAAATATAAAACACATTCCTGCAAAATATGCTGTGACAAATTTCAGTGAAGAAAATATATTTATCCTTTATTTTAAATGTTATCTTAGCAAACACTTGCATTGGTAAATCAAATCTAATCATATTTCCACAACATTTCCTAAAATTAAATGATAGAGAATTCCCCCAAGTAATTTAATTTGAAACAAAACCTGCAACAGTGAACAACATTCCATATTATATGCAAAACCACTGAAAATTAGCCATATGTAAGCAGAATACTAGTAACTTACCATTTCATGTTTTTTTTTAAATTACAATTATAATTCTGATTTAAAATTTACAGATATCTGGATAATTTGTGACAAGAGATTTGTGTGTGTATTTGTTTTTGTGAAAAAGAAGATACATGTGGACAGAAACAGCAATTCCTATGAATATAAAAACATGATGTAATGTTATTTCATTACAATGCAGAAGTAAAGGTACCTTTTGCTGGTGTTTCACTCATTGAGATTGTTGCACTTTCAGATGAGCTTCCACTGTCAGAGAGAATACCTGAGGCCTGAAGGATTTCTGCTAACACAGAGTTCTTGGCGAACTGTTCTTGACTTAAATCAAGAACAATCACATTTCCCTGCAACAAAAATTGACATAAACAAGAAGTGAGTAACTGTAAAAATGTGTCTGTATAACCTGCACATAACTTAACTCTCGCAAGAATATTTTCAACACACATATTATAAGACAAAGTTAAGTACCCATAAGGTGTTCTCTGTTCATATCACAGCATGATTAATGCCTAATAAACTTTTAAATATCTGAGGAAACAAAACACAGTTCAATGAACTCCCACTGTCTACTGATAAAATGACAGACCTGTGTAGACGAGACTGGCAGGTTGAGTGCCTGCTGGCCATTTCCACTGC